AAGACTTCACCGATTGCGAAAATGGTGACAACTCCAAGAGAGAAGACATCGATACTGGCATCGTATTTAGACTTTTCGGTATTCGATCGAGTTGGTGCAAAAGCCTCTGGAGGCATGTAGACTAAGGCCCCAGGTCCTTTGTCATGGTGGCTGCAGCTCTCACACGAGGAACGATACGAGCCACGCCCATGTCCGCTATCTTGGCCACCATATCCGAGTCCAGGAGAACGTTTCTGCCGACAAGTCGCGGTGGATGACGGGCGGCGATCTCTCGTGGAGGTAGGCTAGGCCACACGCTACGTTGTACAGTACGGAGCACTTGAGAGCCATGGAGAAGAAAGATAGCGGTGTGACGGCGCCGGACGGAGGGGGCGGGTCCGGAGCCAGCAAGTCGTGAAGACTCGTCAGCAGTCGCTCCATGACGAGGGCTGGCAGTCGCGAGCCGGGGAAAGAAAGCGACGCCCAGAAACTGGACGATGTTCGGGTGGCGGAGGGTGCTCATAAGCTGACATTCCCTCACGAAACTCGGTCGCGGCCTTAGGCAGTTCGGCGGTCGTTGCATCCCCTTCTTGCAAGATGGCGTAGATTGTTTTGGCGGCGGCGCCCACAGGGACGACCACCTCCTCCACTTTGCCGTAGGCTCCGCCGCCGATTCTGGTTCCAGTGAGCTGGACGTCGGAGAGAACGAAGGGCCTCAGCCCTGGATGATCGCGGAGAAACTCTTCAGCCATTTTTGTGACACACCGTAAAATAGGTGCCACCCTAACATTGTGCGCATGCGCATTACATTATAGAGCATGCTGCTTGAACTGGCGCCGGCCCCACCCATTTTCCTAAAGCGTTTGATAATGTGCACTCTTTCCTTCATATTATACAGTACAAAATTGTATAATGAATTTTGTCTGGTATATATTCATAATGACATGTCTAAACAGATGGTGTCATGGATCATGATTCAAATCTAGAATATCTGAACTCTTGTTTTTAAATAATGGTCGCATACATGTATAAAACCATTGATACATACACATGCAAGAGATGAGACTACGAAACTCTCCCTCTTCATGACCAAATGTTTTGCTAATTGACCCACACTATTATGAGCATGAATTTTAAAAATTTCCTTCCAAGTCGTATGCCAATGTGCAAAGTTCTATTTTCTTTAGTGCAGCAATCAGCTCACTCCAACTTCGTGGTTTTTTATATCAAGCCACTTTTAAAGAATAGTTTCAGTTATTCGAACAGGATCAGATCTGTGTGTGGCTTCAATGTTGTCTGTAAGTGATCCGTGCTTATCTTCCAGTAGAATAATCCCAAGTTTGCGGTATGCTGTTCCAATCCTTTCAATGATGTTAATGGGACTTCCTGATTTTGTGGGGAAACTCAGAAGCAGTTGTAGAGTAGGTCTGTCTGATTTCGCAATCGTCTTCAGCTGCGGTAGTGGTAACGTACTTGGGGAGGGTTGCTGGGGCGACAACTGGTTTTGCTGCTGGGGCGACGACTGGTTTTGCGGCTGGGGAAGAACGGGGGCTGATTTCTCGGGGTTTTCCGGTTTACAGGACAAAGTGAACGAATCCATACTTCCTCCCTGTACTCCAATTTCAACTCCTTCCTCTTTGGGCTCTCCAGTTCCCTGCCATTTCAGTTTCAGTTCGATTTTTGGGATTACACTACCTGGTTCGTAGGTGTGGACGCCGAGCATGTCGGACTATTGCAGGTTTGCAACTTGTTTCAATGATCCATCCGTCGCAATCAGGAGGAAGTTCTCGTATTGAAAGTGAAATTTCAGTTGTTCCGTAGAAGTACCGCATGGTATGCGATCGAAGACTTGATGCATTTGTGTACTTGTTTTGTACAGCCGTACAGTTTGCTGGAGTGTTTTTTGTTACTAAAAAGTGAATGGTATTGTTCTCCTTCAGGTGAAAAACAAAAACAGCTAACATCATTTTATATTCCATAATGTTATATAGAATCGTCAAAATGCAAAATTCCTCCATTTCTATTTCCCCATATGATTTATTCAGTGGAAAATGTCCACCGTTTAAAGGTATAAATTTGTAGGGGGCACCACCGTGTGCTACCATATGGACCAAAGAGTTTTCTTTCTCTACAATTGCACAGTGTTCTATCCTCACTCTGACTGGAGCAGGCAGCGGGGCACTTGCTTTAACCTCATAAGTCGAACTTGCCCTAGGCATGAGCTGAGGTAGGATACAATTTTGTTCGAGGTCTGTGAAGATTCCAACGGAAATCTTTATGTCTCTCTCACAGCAAGCAGCAGGGAAGTGCAGACTGATGCCAGCTTCTTCCCAGATGAAGTCCATTTGCTTTCCGGTGTACCAAAAATATTGTTTCGTGAGAATAGGATCATCTGCATGTAGCTGCAGTCGAAATTTCAGAACATGACATCATTATTTTATCAACCATGAGAATAATGCAGTCAATGCACAAGTACGATGTGCATATGCACTAGGCTTCTTCTAGAGTAGGTCCCCCCTCTAGAAGAAATAATTATTATTCTAGAAATAGAAACAGATGTTGTATATACTATATACACTATTTGGCACATGCTTTTGAGACAAAGATATTCCCATTCCTGTACAGTTGTTGGCACATGAATACTTTCTGTGATTGTGAGTTAGTATTCATGACTGACCTTTTCCCCCAGTTGCTGCTGAAGCAGGGCTATCTCTCTGTCCTTGGCCTGCACTAACTCAGTCTCCTGCAGTCAGGAGGACCTCTAGTCACAACACAACTCCACACACTAGACTAACTCTCTGTCTCATCTCTGATCTGCTGCTCCTTTCCCCCAGTTGCTGCTGCAGAGCTCTCCTGTCCTTGGCCTGCACCAACTCAGTCTCCTGCAGTCAGGAGGACCTCTAGTCACAACACACAACTCCACAGCCACACTAACTGTCTGTTTCATCTGCTGCTCCTTCTCCCGCAGTTGCTGCTGAATCTCCCTGTCCTTGGCCTGCACCAACTCAGTCTCCTGCAGTCAGGAGGACCTCTAGATTACAACAACACACAACTTCCACCACACTAGACTAACTCTCTGGCTCCATCCTCCGTGAATCTGTGCTCTTTCCCCCAGTTGCTGCTGTTTCCTATATATATTTGTATATACTTGGACGTGTTTAGTCGTTTCTTCTCTCTGTGGTTATTTTCCCACTCTTCTTACTTTCTCTTTCCCTTCGCTCTATTTAGCCTCTCAGTTTTGTCTTACTCTCCACTCCATTATTGCCTCCAACTTCCCTATTCTAACCTCTCACTTTTCTTGCTTGTTCTATTTCTCTTACTTCCAACCCTCTTTTCCCTCTTTCTATCTCTCTCTCTCTTCTCTCTTCTTCTGTCTGTTTCTTCTATCTCTCCCTCTCTCCCTCCCTCTCTCTCCCTCCCTCCCTCCCCTCCCTCCTCCGTAGACTGAAACCTACTACTGTGAGCGACCGGAAGGTCTCTGTCTGCACAAGGAGAAGTTGGACGTGAACTCCGAGGCTCCGTGGGAGCCAAGCTAGCACCAGCTAGTGGAGAACCGGAGAGACTCTTACCCTAATACCATACTGTATTCTACTATAGTTTGTCCTCCAATCTACCACCCACTTCGCCATCACTTGACTTCAGTACACCAGATTGGGTGAGTTTTTTTCCCAGCTTTTTCGAAGTTTGTTTTGTTCAGAGGTTTGTGTGTATCTCAGCGGGGTTATCTGGTTTATTCGCTAATTAATGGTTTACCTGCTCCTGCGTTTGAGTCACGCTCTTCTTTTTATGTGAATTTCAAAATTTCTCTGTAACTCTCTCTGTTGCCTAACTTGCTCTGTGTTCTCCTCCTAGTAGGGAGTGAGTAGTGAGGGCGGATGACAGGAGGCTAGGGAGGTTACCACGACGACAACAAAAAGGCCGGGAAATTTGACGCCAGGTTCTGCTGGACCTGGAAAGAGGTGGGCTTCAATTAGAACTTATGTACCAGGATTAGTGGTTAGTTGTGGGTTCTTTGTGTTATAGAGTACTACATTTTTTCCTAATGTGCTTTGGATGGATCAGACAATGGGTGTAAAAGATAGTCAATGCTGTTGTTGTCCCTCCCTCCCTCCCTCCAGCTACAGCAGCGGTGGAGAAGATGGCTACGTCAGAGTACACACTTTTGACTCGAGCTACTTTGAATTTGAATTCTGACACACCCACTACTGTGTGTACTGTGTTATTATAATTATGGCATTGTTGATGATTCCGTTGCTGTTTTTGTGAAGGAGACAAACGGAAAGGTCACGACAATAACTTAACTAGTCACTCTTACAGAAATAATACTAGAGGGATGCAATGCATTTTTTGGCAAGCGAAGGCTAGTCTGATTTTTCATGTGCTTCATGCATATTTAGAATCACATAATATAGAACGCTTATGGTATGTGCAGCACCATCACATACATAGAAAATAGCTAGGGCCCGTATCAGCAACTATGTGGGCTTGCTTCACTGGCCAATTACATTTCGTGAGGGAAAGGGGAGGTTCTTTATCACTCCCTTGCAGTTGTCTTCCCCCTTTATATACAAAATACACAACAATAATTAGTGCATAGCTCATTTGAATCGAGCAATTTGATTGGTCGATACAAAGTTTCTGATTTTGCCTAGTAACTAGTTTTGAACAAAAAGCATGGTAAGGAACCTACAATTCTAACATGAAAACATGGTAAGGAACCTACAACTTTAACAGAAAAACATGGTAAGGAACCTACAACTTTAACAGAATTACATGGTAAGGAACCTACAACTTCTACAATGTTTACACATTTTCAACATGATATACATCATGATAAAACAAAAGACGTCAGAGAGGCGTCAAGAACGCGTATGTGTGCAATTGTGCGCATGCGCGTGAGGGGAAAAGAAAGGGGGCGCGGCAATGCCGCCAGCTCGATCCTGCATGCTGTAAGCCTAGCCCGTGCATATTGCTGGTCTTACCGACAAAAGCCGTCGTAACACTTGAGCTAAAGGCTCGTACCGTGCCGCGGTGTGCTGCCTAAGAAGCACCGCCGCCCGCTTTTTTGCCGTTTACGCTCGTTCTACCCGAACGCGGCTTCCGTTCGGCGCGTGCTCTGCTGCTGCCAAGTCTCGATCGAAACTGACGCTTCGTGCGTATGGCGTGTAGGTTAGACGCTGGAACCTACGTAAAATTCATGGAAACTGACGCTTCGCTCGTTGCTCTGCACTAAAAAGGTTAGACGCTGGAACGCTCTGGACCTACGTAAATTCAGAAACCCTCGGGCGATGTAGTGCCCTCGCTGCGCTCGGGACACCACAGCTCCGCCCTCGGGTTTCTGAATTTACGTAGGTCCCTCGCTTCCAGCGTCTAACCTATATTTAGGGTGCGCGAAAAGTGATTTTTTTAAACCATAGCATTCCATTCTGATCAAATCATTACGTTTTCATTCCATTCTCTTTGACGAAGAATTGTTCAAAAATGAGTAGCGTCTGTCCCCTAGCCGCAGCTTACGTGCAAATGTATAATTAAAGATTAGGTGATTCAGGTATAAACAGATGATGTCGTGTCATAAATCTAGAATATTCTGAACTATGTTGTTGGAAACTAT